GAAGATTTGTCTCATATCGTGCATCATTACGATGGCATCACTTTCGTTTGTTCAAGGATAGATGTTATCTGATGTCGTAAGACTGAAACCAGAAGAAATCTAAGATCACCGCTCCTGCAAAACCCTGTGAATTGTCCAGGTGGCGAATTTGGGTCACATCTCGTTGGGAATACCCTTATTGGTTCTCACCTACTTATTAACTACTCCTTTTGGTGTTTTGCATGCTATTCAGAGCTCGAAAAATCTTTGACCATAAAGGACAGGATGTACCGTCTGAGGTATTTTGTATTTTTGAAATGTTATCTTTTCCAAACCGGAACATAATAAATTGAGAACAGAATTTGTGTTTTTATTTAGCTTAGTGTGACTGACTTCAAAAGGCTTTGTGGGCTATACAAGAGAACGTAGGTTGATCCAATGGAATAAATATTGAATCGTTAGCTCCGAGTTTGCATAAAATGCTGGAAGCTTGGTCGTTACGCTGTGATAATTAGGAGCATTTGAATTAGTATAGAAACTAGGAATCACAGAAACAACGCAGGCAGATGAAGAAGCACAACATGATGACGAACAAAAGTACTGAATTTGGAATTCGAAACCAAGCAGTTGAGGATACAACGGATATTCCAGTTTTGCAACTAGCAACCAGTAGTATCTTCTATAATCGTCCGTTCCCAGTCGAAAAGAAACCAGATGTCAGACGAGGAGAGTTAGAAAAGATGGTCCTGTAGTCGAGATGTGATGTGTAACATTGCTGGTTACACAAGGCAATTTCGATTGCGGTTGGTATATCCCGGGGTATTTGTCGAGTACTGATTGGTACAAGGGGTCTATGGTGTGCTTAATCGTGACTGGGGATAACCTGCAACCAGAACAAGGAGTTACGCTAACAGATAACTTAGTGTTTCCGTCTATTAACTTTCGTGAGCGTGTGTCGATGAGTAGATTGTGGTGTTGTAACAGGTCTATACCAATGATTGGCATAGAGACATCTGCAACCACGAAAATCCAGTGTATGGGTTTGCGTAAACCCACGTTAAGGTAGACGTACCTTTTACCGTAAGTAGCGATCGGCTTTCCGTTTGCTGCCTGTAAACTTAAAACATACTCTTGAAGTCTGTCGTCGGGATTTGCTGGAAGAATGCTAACTTCTGCGCCAGTGTCGACGAGGTAGCGAACTTTCGTAGTCACATCCGTGACGTATAACAGACGGCTGTGTTCGCCGGCTACGGTTGCCGTTAACGCGTGCCGGCTGGGAAGTTTCCCGAAATCTTATTCGTGTCAGTCGATTTTAAAGTCGGATAATTGCAAGGTTTCCTGCAATTTCTGGAAGACTTACCGTACTGGTTATGATACCAGCACCAGTCGGGATTATCTGTCTCTCGTGGTCGAGAGACTGATCGTCTACATGAGACACTTCTATTCAGGGTTTTTGACCGACTACGGTCATTTCGAACTCTAAGATATCGTGTAAGCGTGTGACATTGTTCGGTGATGTCGTTCGGGGTCGTTTGAGGTTTTTCTTTGACTGAAAAAACCTCGGCCCTAGAAGATTTAGTGATTTCTAAGATTCGGTCGGCAGATGCAGCCAGCTCATTTATGGCGTTGTTTTGAAATGAAACAAGCACTGCCTGCACCTGATGAGGAAGTTTAGACAAGAAAAGGCCATCATCGAAAGTTCGTTGGCCGATAACCTCTCTCATTCTAAGCAACATGTCTGACGCAGAACCATGTTGCAAGTCGATGTTATGGAGTAGTTGGTCTAACCGTTGCCAGTCGGTTAGGTCCCCACGATTTAGAATCGAACATTTGAGAGTTTCGTAAGGTTCGGGAACATCACTAGTAAACATACTAGGTGTTACGTACCTGTTAAACTCGCACGGTAACGCCTTAACTACCGCGAGGAATCGTGTGCGCGAGTCCGTGATTCCGTGCATGCAAAAATCAGCTTCTGCATAGCAGAACCAGGACTCGATATTGTCGGGCCAAAATGGCGTTAACTGAATCGAAATAGGGGGAATAGACTTTAACTTAAAAACCTTGGGTGAGTGTTCCGTCATGGTAATATAGATAACGAAAAATGTTTGATTAAAATACATCCGGGGAAAAAAATTCGCGAAAAAACAGTACATCACAATGTATAAAATTCAAATAAAGAATAACAATGAATAATAATATTCCAAAATGGAACAGACTCACAGTATATTGACTTGGTGTACCAGATCACGTCGGTTTCACCGATGATGATGCAACGGATATTCTAGTTTTACAACTAGATACCAGTAGCACCTTCTAAATTCGATTGTTCCCAGTCAGATAGAAATCAGTAGTCAGACGAGAAGAGGCAGGAAAGATATATTTGATACGTTACCAATATATCGAGGAACCTTTACTATAAGCTGGCTAATGAACGTAGGAGCTGTGTCCCACGCCGTGTTGCGACATGATCTGGTCCGGATGCATGCTGAAATATTAATCAATCTAAATGCTTAAACTGAACTACCGTACTTATAGACCTCTAGAAGCAATCCATTTGGATCAGCTGCTCTTCCTCATTTCAGACTAGCTATAACTTTTTGAGCTTTAATATGTGTCGGATTTATTGTATAAAGTAAACCATAAGGAAACGCTAATAGATGACTTTAGTCTATTCAAAAGTTCACTTGTCTCTGATTTAGCTTCATTTTCAACCACTTGAAAATTTTTGGGATCGATCTTTAAATATAATTTAGTTGAAAGATGATTTAAAGCTTTTTACTCATAGTCACTTTTGTTCGTGACCATTATTGTATTATACTTGTCAGCTTTGTTAATGACAATCGTCGTGTCTTTCTGCAATAAGCACAAAGCTTTCCATTCTTTTATGGGAACATTAGGTAGAAGGGATATTCAATATATGAGATGTTTTTTTGACGTAATATGTGCGATTGCCTGTCTGGAAATTTTTCGAGTGCGAGTTCTAGAATTGGGGTTATTTCTAGAGTATTGGGGGGTCTTCAATATAGATCGACTTCATAGATACTAGGAGTTATGTTAGAGAAATTATGAACTACCTTTAGATCAGTAGTAGTTGTTGTATTTTTGGTGAATCCTTTCAAATTTCGTTTGCTGATTTCCGTGTGGAACGCTTATGCAAGCTACGTTAGCCACTGCTTCTATGAAGTTGTGCGACGGCAAATGTCTTTAGGTGAAAAACAATGGCGTGATGGTATTACATTTGCTCTACGTGTCTGCAAACAAAACAGAAAGACGTTTATATACAGAGAGTTATTGGTTGTCTTCATTGCAGTTCGTTTGATTATCCGCAAAACGTTAGAAGAACTTGGGGTATTTTCAGTCGCATTTCCCCAAAATACATGATATTAAAGATTGCCATTGTGAAAAATACACAAACATCTCCCGAAAGTCGGGATACTTGGTTGGTTTACCATGTGTGTTCATAGTCTCAAGCACATCTCTTTAAATCTTCATACCATGATCACTATTTATTGTGTATTGATAAACTATTATATGTTACATATATTGTTTTTGATTATATCGTAGTTGGTGCAGTGCGGGAAGATAGCCTGGTATTGTTCTCAGGTGATTTGATGTACTTCAAGATAAGTTAGTGTCAACTTGGCAATTAGCCATTCCGTAATGGGAACGCTTATGAACTCGTTATAAGTTTTAGGGATTTCATTAGAAAGTTAAGCTCCTATAATTGGTTTTAGTATACTATCGTGAAACTAAACTAGTGGGGATGTAGTTCCGAAATAACTAAGAGAGGAATATTTCTTCATAGGCATAATAAATAATTCTACCATGTGAGCTTGGGAACTAGTTTTCAAGTTTCGTGGCGATGTTGCCTCGTACATGTAGGTTGCTTTTCTACGATAATGTATTTGGATGACTTCTAATATGAATAGTAGGCTGTGATGCTACAAACTGTCATGGACCAGACGGTCACCTTACTGTCTGAAATAGACGTGCACTGTCACTAGTTCCCAAGCCACTTGCTAGTTGTATATATCAACCCTTTCGACTTGTAAGTGTTTATTACGTGCTCACCTTACTGAATACTTCGTGATCACTACTATTCTATCAAACAAGAACAACCGGATATTCTCCCACCTACTGTATACCTTTGGTGAAATCCACTCACGATGGACTTCTTTGCTAAATAGTACTCTAGTCAGTTTAGCTCAATGGGAATTCCAATATGAAGTTCAGATAATATTGAACTCCTCACATTTCCATGCACATAAAAATGTAGCCGCCTTATGAACACATTTTGCTTCGAACTTCACTGCTAGGTTTTAAATAATTGTTTCAGTGGACACATTAGTGGTCAAAATATTATATATACATAGAGTAGAGCAATAAAAGTGGTGAACTTTGACGGATCCAAGTACGGAGAATACAATTGCCAATGGATAGTCATCAAACCGTATTACTGGATAGCTAAACTAAAGACGTCAGGGTGTTAGGCTGAACAACTCGAGTTATCATGCATCTACAGTTGGGGACAGTACGAGAAAATGTTTCCTGCCTGGTCAGAAATAAAAAATACTACTACTAAGTGAACTGTCTTCCAAGTTACGACAACACTGATAAACGTAAGGTATTTAAGCAGAGTTCGATTTTCTCTACTTTAATCAGAAGTGTGCTCAAGGTCCGAATTACGTTAGAATCCCTAATTACAGCCTTATATATATTGACCAAGAGGACATAACATATCTCAAGACTTCACTTGATACAGCCATGCAAATCTCCCTCAGCACAATAAAAGCTGGGAAGGCCGAGAACAAGGAAGTAGGAGAGCACTTTAGAATACTATGCGAGATTTCTTTCCTCTCATGTGTGCCCTCGTGAAGGACATTTGACCCGCAGTTATTTGAAGCTCTAGTTAGACAATTATCAGATCGTTCCTCGGTGACGCCATCTTACTAGCTTTTCAGGGTGCCTGCATACACACGAGCAAGCAAAGCACCCAAACACGATTTTCTCAAGTGTCCACAGTGAGAACTCCGCTCGAAAACTGTAAGGTCACTTTATGATGTTGAGAGACCTACATACATTACACTATGTCTATTATTAGTTGATTGGCTTCAGAATAGCGATTCGTAAAACGCTTCAGGCCGACGCCGTCAGCTAAACTGCAGACCGATCATCTGAACTCTGAGAATGAAGCAGTGGAGGAGGATGATGAGTACCTGCTCATGCAAGCGCACAAAAGACCGAACAGGGAAGAAGTAATTAACTCTGACTTTGTTACTGATCGATCATAGTCGCAATCATTTTGGTATGAAGAACATGATATTGGTAAGCAGGAATTTAATTTATAAAAGAACAAAAAGCAAAATATTCATTTAGCGTATCATATGACTCATGAGGAAAAAAACTGGACCAGTTCATCAATACTCCACTCTTTATCACCATCCAGATCGTATTTTTCCATAAATTTTTGGACAGTACTTTCTGACAGTTTGCGATTAGAATTAAGTTCTAATATCTTTTTAACTTCTTTCGAGGAAAGTCGCCCCGATTTATCGGTATCGGCATAATCAAAAAGCGCTCTGATATCCTCCCTGAAATAAGTAAAATGTAATCGGTCGTTAATTTACTGATAATTTGTACGCAACATTGTATGATACACTACTAAACACTTACATGGACAACATGACCCGACCTAGGCTGAGTGGTAATTCACTGTACGGAGTTGTCGTTGATCGCAAATTAGTTTATATACTATTCAGTCTGTCCAATCAGATTATATGATTTGAACGGACGATGTCATGTGCGACCTTGATTTGACAACCAAGGTTGTATTATTTTCATCAGGTCACGTTAAGTAGCAAGGTGATTGGATGAAAAGAGAATTTGTTTGTTAGACTGAAGCGTTTAGTCATGAAATGGCCTTTTAAGCAACTGGTGTATATTGTACAATCTCCTTTGCTTTCTGATTGTGTCATCCAGAGAAATTATTCATCACAGTGTGGTGCGAAACAGACAACCCGTGGAAGTTCTCGACTTAAGAACTGAATCCTTTATATCACTCCGGAAACTCTTCAGTTCCATTCACCTTTTAAAGTCAGCGACGTGATGCGAATTTATTGAAGGCGTAATATCTCAATGAAGTTTGGTATTCTTATGTGTGTTGTGTGTACTTGATCTTTTGTTACAGCTGTACATTAACAAACGCTGGTAATGAAAGTGTTTTGAAGATAATGCATGAGGTTCTATTTTTAATAATTGAGAACTGCACTACGAATTATTATACTTATAATCTTAATTGACTTCAGGATTAGACGATTAAATATACGTTCAACCTGTGACGAGTCTCAAGAAATCATGTCTCAGAAAGGGAATCTAGTCAGGGTTCCATGTCGTTTCGTTAGATTGTGAAGATATACTTTGTTGATGAAATTGGGGTCTACTGAAAAGCCATAAAAAAGCCACAGATATTTACAAAGATAAGAAGAAGCGACTTCGGATGCAGACAGAAAGCTACTTCTTACTAGCTGGTGAGCCAAGATAACTGGAAATGTGGAGATTTCATATTTTAAAACTTAAATATTTAGATCGAAAACCCTAAAGTGTTGTTTCCGTGGTAAACAGTATGTTCAATCACGTGGTTACCCGATTGACAGCACAATTGTACCCACTTTCGTGAGGAAACTTATGAAACCACCGAAGTTCTCTTCAGATTGTGAGTGTTTTTAAACTCTAAATTCTGTTATTAAGCAGTGAATAGAGCTATGAACTGATTCGATCTATAGATTAATATCAAGTCGATTATTTATCATGAAGCTTTCCAATAAGTCACAGAATGGATTCAATTTGAAGTGCTTGTTGCCTCGTTTGTAGTGGGTGTACTTAATCAGGCAAATGGTTGAATTTTTGTGAGGTAGCAATTAGTTATTTATCATTTGTCACTATGATGAACTGATTTGACCATGATAACCAATATGTCAAACGATTACTCAGTGCAACAGAACTCAAGAAATGTAACTGAATGATTTGATTTTAGAGCCAGTAGATTTTATCTCAAAAAAGACCAGATTCCAAGTTGTCAGATGTACCACTAGATATTAAATACCACGTGTTTTAGAAAACTGACATCTTTTCAAAGATTTTATTGATAGAAACAACAGTTAAGTAATGAATGTTCAAAAAGGGGATTATGCGACATGAAAAACATCACAGCAGTGCATTTGTTTATGCTTGTTTCTTTGTAGTTGCCTGACAAAGTTGTTAAGAAAAACCAGCGAGTTACAGCGACTTTATAACTTAGTAATTATTACCGAAGGTAAAGGCCTCTAGACATACAATGGCCATCTAAGCTATTCTTCTTTACAAACTTCTTATTTCTTTCTAGACAACCATTGCAAATTTAACTAAATGGACTAATAGATATCATCAGTTGATTACCAGTGTTAAGGTTTTATGTACTAAGCAATCTTTGAACCAATTCTTGTGCGCAATTTGCTTTGATGTTCAACGGTGAACTTTCTCCATAAAATGTAACGTACAAAGGTCCCTTTCAGGCTTCATTTCAACACAAACCATTTGATAGTGCTGACTGTTGAGGACTCTTAGTAAAACGAGCATATATATATATATATATATATATATATATATATATATATATATATATATATATATTTCTAGCATCATACTTTTCAAAAAATACCTTCATTAATTGTTTAAACTCAGAACGTGAAGTTGGTAAAATTAAGTTTCACTCTTGGTGGGTATTTTCGGCGGCGCTGTCTTCTTGATACTACATATAGTAGAAAGGCATACACAGATTGCTAGTTTTTTCTATCTTTTAAAAGTTTATCATATTAAAATTGCCTGTTAACATTGTAATTAGTGATTAAGTATGGACCACACTCTATGAGGACCGCTGATACTATCTGGTTGCTCAAACTAATGTAGCTCGAGCTGGGATTGAGCTCTGACTCAGTGACTAAAAGTCAAACTCCATAACCACTAAGTCACCGCATATTTGGATAGTTAAACTAAAGGCGGTATCAAAAGTGGCTGAATCCCCTTGATATGTACTTTATAAAAGTATCTGGTATAGCAGATTATCACAGCTACCATACCTTCATTAAGAAGCTAAGAACTTACTAAAGTTCATAACTTAGTTGTCCAAAGTAGACGGTATTTTTTTTGAGAAATCGATCTGTAGCAGTAAATTTCATAAACATAATACCATTTAATGATAAAATTGACGGTATGGCGAAATAATTAAGATTTTAATACGGGCCGTAGGAAGTGTCAGATTTGGTTTTTGTATCACAAGCAAAGAAACTGAATGAACGCAGTAATCGTCTCATCTTCTAACCAATGTTATCCCGTCATTATGACCTAGTGTCTTAAAAACTCATTTTCCATTGTAAGTCTCATCATTGTAATTACTAAAACATAGTCTCTTACGACTGTGACTTTGAAGATACTTCTTATTCAGAATTGATTGTATAATGAGTGGCGACTGTCTTTATGCTTATCTATTCTTTTAAATGCTGATTGAGTTCTGTCGATTAAATTGCCGTGTGGCCACTAGACTAAGATACATGACACGGCGTGCAATAAATTGCGATGTTAGAAAATCATAGACTTATGTTCCGTGCTAGTTGACACTTGTTAACATGGGATACCTACAACCTTAAGGCAGCTGATATCCCCTTTGTGACTTGCATCCACATCATCCGGCTTCACAGTCTAAGTTATTACTGCTGAACAACTCGGACCTCCATTGACCTCTTGACGCGCTGAGATATTTACTATTGGTTGATCACCGAGTTGTGACCAATATCATTAGCACTTAAGAAACCAGAGTATTTGACTCATAGGGTAAAGGTAGGTAAATCTAAGAGGAATTTGTGAAATATCTGAGCTTGAGTGAGTTCTTCAATTATGTTGACTGTTACAGGCCCAACTGTTTTTACTCTGTTTCGTCACGTTGTTTGGCATAAAATGCTTTTAAATATTTAGTAAATTAATGACTATGTAGCTTAATAAAAAATCACGGCGTGTTAATCAAAAGCGCTTTTCAAGGTCAACTGGCTGTGCAAAGCCGGAAGGAGAATATAAATACTATCAGTACACAGACCAACGCCCACACCGTGAAAATATCGGCCTCTACATCAATGTGTATGAATTTGTTTTGACTCCATTCTTCTACTCATCTAGTCTAATTAGGTGTGTATTAAAAGCTGAATAAAATAATGTTCAAAATTGTTCTGTCGTTAATGTAGGTGATGGACTCATTTTCTGTTTTAAGAAAATGTGGTTTCCACTAAAATGAGTCATATGTATCACATGAAAATGAAGTGATATACTAATTAAAGCAACCATTAATGTTTAATCTTAATTTACATGATTTTGGACTAGACTGGTACTTAATTCTAACACTAACTTTCAGCTCAGACTCGCAACTTGTGATTCACTTTTATAATGACTTCATGGAACAAGTTCAAACCCGTACCATTTTGATAATAAGGTAGAACGTCATTTCAAATATATTCACTATTGAATCAATCAGTTAAGGATGGGGTAGGCAATGTAAAACTGAGCAAAGCAAAAATGACAAGATTTCTAGAGGAGATTCTATCTATTTCAAAAATTTTCTTCATTTACAAACGGTTTAAAACTACAATAAGTGGTGTAACTATGAACAACAACTTGAGTTTGATTAGTAGATTTGGTTATTGAAAACGGAACCGAAATTTATGATAATAGGGATATTAGAAACCATGTTACTAAAAATAGTCAAGATTGATGCCTGTATGAGCTTTGTGAAGATAGTCATGCGAAGTAAAGTGGGTAAGATTCAGACACAGGGTCCTAGAAACGCTTTCAGAAAACCACCGAAATTTTTGTCTCACTCCTTGTATATTTGCCAAAATAAATATATGTCAATAAACAGGTTTTACTGGAGGTGACATCAGAAAGTGTACTATTAATTTAATGAGAATTTAGAATTATATATCATGAAACCAGTTTAGGTGTAGAAACTCTTTTTAGTGCCGTCCCAGTTCTTCCTTGAATTTCATCCCCATTAAATCAAGAGTAGGTGCAGACACGTTTTTTGACAGTTGGATATTTTAAGGTCTCAGGATACCCCTTCCCATACTTCATAACAATTTTCTGGTCCCCATGTTTTAGAAGAATGTCTTCGATGATTGTAGTCCTCTTATTTTATCTACTGAACACACTACTCTAGCTATATTAAAAGGATTTCACTATGTAAACTCTGTAACTTACAGAATTAGAACAGTTACCTCCTAAATATAAACCCGTCTGTATGTATACTTTCCTCAAAAGATCCGTCTTTACTTAGTTCTATCCTAAAGTTCAAGCAGTCGAAATTCTTGTCTCCATACGTCTCTGTAAACATGATGCTTAGGTGAGGATCATTGAACTAGTGAGACCGTCGGTTGAGATGATTCACATTATTATAAATAATAAAATGATATCATCGATACATTTGGATTGTTATGCTATATATTTTTTTAAATTTCGTTCTTAAACTCCACTTGTCTAAAGTTTGCTAGAAAGATGTCATTCAAGATAGGTCCTAGTAAGCCTTTTCAACCATACTAAAGAATAATATAAAGACTAATATTTGAACGAAGAATATTCTTCTCGATAAATTCTCTTCAGGTTCTACAATTATATATCCAAATTAGTAATCCGAAATAATGGCCAAATTAAAGGTAAAGTACATCGTTTAATGCATGTAAATTTAGGAATGTCAAATCAAATAGAATAAAATTGTTAATGTTGATATGATTCATATAGAATGTTCACTTGAATCTGTATATATGTAAAGTGAAAATTTAAGATCTGTGCATTAAACGATGTACTTCGCCTTTAACTTGGCCACTTTTATTCGGATTATTAATTAGGATATATAATTGTAGAACCTGAAGAGAATTTATCGAGAAGAATATTCTTCGTTCAGATATTAGTCTTTTAATAATATAAAGATATGTAAAATAGTTCTATCCTTAAGTAACTTTATAGATTACTGAAAATCTTTTGAATTTAGTAAAGGAATCACAACCCAAACAAGCTTGAATAAGAAGAAATAAGATAGCGAAATAATGGGCTTTTTCCATCTCAGCAGCTGTCATCTTTTATTTATCTGCTTAAAGTTGTATTTTTCGTCTAATTTTGATCAATGTTAATTATGACTTTAGTGAGTTAACATTTAAAACTACTGACTATAAGGCTTTCTCCCTCATTGTTCATTCGAAAATGATTTTTATGGTTGCTGAACGATTCCTCCATATATCACAGATTCCAAGTTTTCCGTAGAAGTGCTTATATTCTGACGGCAATTTAAACTAGTCCTTATCAGATAGTATGAACTATAATAACCTTATATAGTCGTGGTTAATAACATCGTTCACAATGTATTCGGAGTTGAATGATTTATAACAAAATTTAAGTCACTGTAGATGCCTGAATACTGAAACATTAAGAGCATCAAACTAGGCACATGAATCATTTTCACCAGTTAGTTTAATTTCAACACTTATTTTCCTGTTAATACTTTTTGATCTAAAAGTAATTAGAAATTTCCCGTATAGGGTTACAGTCTACCTGTAAACCAAGTTGTTTTTAGGTCGATAATCTCTAGTGCGTATTCGTTTGTCTGTTTAAACACACTGAAAAGGATAGAATGTTATTGTATGATTTCGAATTCACATGTGTATTTCAGCAAACTTGATTAATTCACTATTTTACTTACTGTTAGATGAAATCAATAACTATAACAAAGTTATGAAGGTGTATATATCTGTTACAAATTCCTGTGTATAGCGTGGGTGAATAACAAAATGAATGTAACATTAATAAACTTTATGAATAATGTAACCAATGAGATAGACAATAACAATGATGGAAAAAAATAGTAAGAGTACATATGAAAATAATTTTCAAAATTGTTGTGACCTGACAGTAGGTGAAGGTCATGGCAGAAAAATGACTAGACGGTGGATTTTATACACATTAATTTTATTAGTAAATACTGCCTTAGTTCAGCCTAGTAAACATGGAGTAAAAAACTTGACTCATAATTCCTAATAAGGTGTGAGGTTAGCATGATAATTAGAAGTATTCGA